TTTAGAAGTGTTACTTACCTCAAAGTGTGCAACTCAATGCTCCAACAAACCGTTTCCTCGCGAATCAGCCTCCGAACGACTCGAATCTAACTACAAACAACTTAATACAATCAGTAAAAGCTATAGGAATCGATTCCATATGATAAAGCTAAGTTCTTTAACCAAATTCAAAAAGTCAATCAAAATCTCAACCCCATGACCATGCCTTGGAACCCGACAAAATTCACAAAATTCGAACATCCATTCAATAACGAGTCCAACCATACCAAAATCATCCAATTGCGACCACAAATCGACCTTCAAACCACCAAATCTCACTCTTTAATCCCTAGTCCAAAATTCCCCAAATTTCACCTTAAAACACATAATCTAGGTGTAGAAATCAATGGGTATTCAATATTATTGGACAAAAGTGAAAAAAAATGGCTTACCTCTTGATTTATTGAAATCTTTCTAAAAAACCGTCTCTAACTGAGCTCCCCAAGTCCAAATGTGAAATAATACTTTAACCCTCATTTTTGAAATTAAATAGTCTGCCCAAGTGTTCCTCTTCGCGATGCGGAAATTCCCTCGCGATCGCGAAGAACAAAGCTTACTGCCCTAAAAAAATGGTCTACGCGAACACGGACACTCAGCCGCGAACGCGATGTTTAAAAACTTAGATTTACACGATCGCGGACTCGGACATGCGATCGCGAATTACAAACGCGTGAACTTCCCAGACCTCCCCTTCCTCTTCGCGGACGCGCCCCATCACCCGCATTCGCAATGCATAACTAACCAAACTTCCGCGATCGCATAAATGAACTCGTGAACGCATTGAACAAAAATCCTCCTGTCAAAAATAACCCTACGCTATCGCGACCCCCATCACGTTATCGCGTAAGAGGAAACTAGATACCAACAATTCAGCAACTCCATAAAGCCAAACTCAATCCGCAATTAATTAGTATCTCACTCGAGGCCCCCGGGACCCTATCTAAATAAAACTAATGGATTTCCAATTTGTACAATCTATGTCGAAACCTATCAAATAAACTCCGATTTACCTCAAATTTTGTACACAAGTCATAAATAACACAACAGACCTATTTCAATTTTCGGAACCGAAATCTGAGCCCGATAATAACAAAGTCAACTCTCTGCCAACTTCTTAACTTTCTAACTTTCTCAATTCAAGCCAAAATAACCTATAGACCTCCAAATCAAAATCCGGACATAATCCTAAGTCCAAAATCACCATATGAAGCTATAAGAACCATCAAAATTCCGTTCCAGAGTCATTTACTCATAAGTCCATATCGGTCAACTCTTTCAACTTAGGTTTCCAACTTTGGGACTAAGTGTCCCAATTCATTCTGAAATATTTCCGGAACCAAACCAACCACCCCGGAAAGTCACATAACAACAAGCAAACATAGAATAAGCAATAAATTGGGGAACAAAGCTACAATACTCAAAACAATCGGCCAGGTCATTACACTTGATCCGCCTTCTTCACATAATCTTCATCACTGTTGCTTGCCATGGTTAAAAATAGATGTGTTAAAAATTGGAGCCTTGTGCGTTGAACGTGAGCACAGGTTAAATGTATTAGAGCCCTGCGTCAAAAGTGAATAGAGTTAAAAGTGGAGCCCATACGTTAAAAGTGAGCATGGGTTAAAAGTATTGGAGCCCTCAGTTAAAAGTCATGAACAAGGTTAAAAGTGAAGCTCATGCGCTAAAAGTAAGCATGAGTTACAAATTTAAGTCCATAAGCATTGGTTAAAAAAGGTTTTTATTTTAAAGATGCAGCAGCAGATATGTTGAAAACTATGATTGAAAGTTTATCTCCACATATATAACTCTAGACACTTTTTTTAACAATAATCATCATTATCACCAAGTTGGCTACGCTTGATCTGAATCCGCCTTGAATTTGTCTTCAACCTCGCTCCAACCATTGGCTTTGATATCGCCTGTTGGGATCGAAAATAATAAGGCAGTCATGCGAAAGCTAGCGAAGCAAACCTCGGGGATGATAAATCAGACGGCATATAGAAGTATACTAAAGAGACAAAATACTTTAATATGGTTTGGTCAATTGACCTACATATGATAAAACTAATATAAAAGAAAATATCTATGAAGAGAAAAATCTCCCCCAAACAAAGCTCTTTTAATGACTATATTGTGAATGCTATTGTGTTATTGTGTGAAGGAGGGATTCTCAATTTATAGAAGTAAAAAACTTCTCCTCCAAGAAAAAGAATAGTCAAATATAGTAGAGATTTACATTTTCCTTTAGAAAAAACTAAAATCAATTATGGTAAACATTTTTCCTTCCTTCAAGAAAAAAGTAAAATCCAAATATGAAAAGAAAATCAGGACAAAATCCTAACACAAAGTCTGTACCCTAAGACTAGTTTAATATAATATTTTGAAGTTTGTAAGGGACAACAAATATGCTCTTTGCAAATATGAAGAATAGATGCTCCCGAAACACTAATAGAAATTTGATGAATGCTTAAGGTGACCTGATGCATGTATTAAACAGGTAGCCTTAAATTACTATAAGACACTTCTTGGGACATCAGCAACACCTCTACCTGCTAGAAGTGTACATAGGTCAGGTTGGTTCAGATTTTTCAATTATCAAACCAAACCAATGGTGTCGGATTTTTAAATTTATAAACCAAACCAAACCAACAAAGTCGGATTTTTCAATCTCGATTTTTCAGGTTTTTTCGGGTTTTTTTCGATAAAGTCTTCATAGCATAAAATATGTAACTTGTGCTCCAAATATTTCTTAAGTCCTAGTAAAATACAACTATATAATGTGGGAAACTTGTTTGACTATTTACCTTCATCAAAGCCGGAAGCAAAGGGCGAATGTTTTCAAGAAACTAACACAATAATATGAGATAAGCCATAGTATTATCCTAACATATTCAATAACAAAGATAAAATAATAAAATTACATAAAATAAATATTGCTAATTAATAAGCCATAATAAAAATTAACATAATCTAAAAATACTATATAGGATCATGCTTAAATAAGTATAGCTAATAAGTACTAATATTAATTACATAACTAAGCACTAAAGAAAAAGATAAACTAAGTTATGCATTTTCATTATAAACCAATGTAAAACTAAAATAATTATCCAACACTATCGACATTCCTAGTATTGAATTGAATTTCTTTTGTTAGCATTAGTATTGATTTGAACTTTATTTGAGTTACTACATTTATGGGCTTTAAAATTTATTTACCATTCAAGAATATTAAGTCTAAACTTGAAATAGTATGTTAAAAGAAAAAACTGTGAAAAGGTTTAAGAAATATTTATAAATTACATTACAATAAATATTTATACGTATAAAATATTTTTAAAAATTATATAAATGTACTATCGGGTTGGTTTGGTTTCGGTTTGACTTTTTTTAGTTAAAACCAAACCAAACCAAACCAATTATGATCGGGATTTATTTTTCAATACCAAACCACATCTGGGTTTTTTCCGATTTGACTCGGATTATCGGTTTGGTGCGGTTTATCGGTTTTCTTTGTACACCCCTACTACCTGCTATTAACCATTTGGTTACTAAGCAAGGTCTAGTGTTAAATAGCGAGCAACAATGAGAATTAATCAAACTAGTCATAGTAGATGAAGTGTACCATGCTCCAATGGGTAAAGATAGGGGCAGACCTAGGTAGGATCAAAGGGTTCAACCGAACCCGCTTCGCCGAAAAAACTTGCTATTTACATATATAAATTCATTCAGATTTCTATATATGAATAAAAATTAACCCGTTTGTTACGATTACAAGACGTAGCTCAGTGGTTGTGTGGGTTCAATTGCTGGTCAGAGTACCGGGTTCAAATCTCTGCGGCACCATATTCTGTATTACTTGCGTTGATTTTCGTTTCCGTTGTTTGAAGTTCTTCTTCTTTTTCTTTTTTATACATGAAGGTTAGATTAGTTGTTTTTATTTACTTATTTATTGTTTTAGTTTTAAATTGTTTGTTTATTTTGTTTATATTTTATGTATGTTGTTTTCAAAATTGCTACATTGTTACTTAACTAATTATAAGAGTAAAACATAAAAATTAAAATTGAAGACAAGCGGAAAAGTTTAAGTCTTACAAAAAAAATGATATAATTTGTGTTCTTTAGTGTTAGTACTTGTTTCTTTCTTTGTTTTTCTTTATGTCTTGCCTATGTACAGAAATAAGATCCTCTTATTTTTTTAATTATTTATTATAAGTAGGTAAATTTTGATATATTTTTATTTTATATAACTATTTATCTATTTTTAAATTTCTTACCACCTCAAACAATATTTTTCAGGGTATTGTGGGAATAGAAAAAAATACGTCAATTCTTATTGTCGACTGCTATCGTAGTTCTAGAGTTTTTTTGAACCCGCTTATATAAAATGTTGGATCCGCCACTGGATAAAGATTCTATGAAAGTGTGACACCCCGTTAATTTTAGTGATTCATTTTAGAACTATTTAGTCGTATGAAGTTATTGGAGATAGTGAAATTCATGCAATTAACGTTACGAATATTCGGAAGTGGGATTTGAATTGTTAGAAAGGACTATTAAGTTATTGTCTTAATTAGAGTTTCTTATTAAGAGAGAATTGTTTGAAATACTTATAGAGACAATTATAATTATTTACTTCATAAGTGGGTGCATAAATATGTATTTACATATAGAAATAATATTTATATATTGCGAGATATGAAAAACATCACTTGAATGGATACAATACACATAACGTCAAGCTTAGCTGATGACGCATTGTTTGTAAGCGGAAGAGCTTTTGGCGAAATTAAAAATGCATGAAAGGACAAAAAGGCATACGTAGAAAGTTTTTATCTTGTACAATTTTTCTTTCCTCTAATAATTCATTAGGTGGGATTCCACCAAAAACGCTTTATACTCCGTGAACATCATCATCTTCATACTCGTTGAAACAAGGCAACAATTGTGAGACTTGTAAGATGAGGAGCATCACTTTCTTCCTCTCCCTGATGGTAATTGTGGATGTTTTGCTCTCTGCTTCTTCGGTTACCGCCGCGATGTACAGTAGTGGTATATCTTGGAACAGCAGTGCTGCCGGAGAATTGATGAACGAATTGGATGGTATTAACTGGCAGGTAAATCTTGCAAATGGTGAAAATAGTATATCTTACGAAGCTCTTCAGCGGCCGCCAATCTGCGACGGGAGAATCTATGGCAATTGCATAGGGGATAAGAAGCCTACACAGCGGCCATGTAACCTCTACAATTACTGCAAGCGTCCTGGTTAAGTCATTGGTTTCCTTGCCTGAAGTTATATTGTTAATTCTGTTGAAGTGAGATTGTAAATATATGTTTCTCACTTCTTAATTTATTAGCTGAAGCATGAACGCGACCTGTCGCAAGATTTTAATATGGTTATATTTCTCATATTTGCTCTATACAAACACTAAATAAATCAATTTAGCAGTTATTATGTCTGCGTTTAATTTATTTCTTGTTCCCCCATATATACTTTTGGACCTGTGAAGATGAGGTGGAATGATTGAAGAGTGAGCAATTCCAAGATGCTAAATATATCATTTCCACTTTTGCTGCAATAGAGGAGATTTCAATTGGACTAGTTAAAAAACTTAGATATATAACACACCGGATTTATGTAACAAAAAATTCACGTAGAAAAAAGAGATTAGACTAGTCATTGCATTTAGCTTCCTCTCATCTCTTTGGTTACTCCCGTGTCTATTTATTCCTTGACTGCAACAACAAAGTGCAGAAATGTATCCTCTCTTAATTCTCAGCTTTTTTATAACAATCACAATTAGCCGTCTAACAGAGTAAATTGTGACAAAACTCATAATTTGATTGTTTGTGCACCTTGCGACCAAAATGGGGTTCCAAGTGGATCTCAACGATGGTTATATTATCACATACTAGTTAGAAATTGAAATTATTTTTGAAATTTTGTGTTGAGTGTGAATAAATTGTCATTTAGAAATTGATAAAAAAGAAGAAGAAAGTTACATATAAGGTGCACGTGGATAGAGTGAAGGGAAGAATTTGTCATCTCCACGTGAAGTGTCAAGTATCTAAAGGTGGCATTTTCATTTGTAACCCGCCTAGATTCGGTCAATAACTAAAAACAAGATGAGTAAAAATGACCTTGAGCCTATAATAACCCCTCAAACTGTTGGATTCTGATGGGTGGAAATAGTGTAACCTAGTGGATTTAAACATAGAGAACTATTGGGAGGATTGACCCATTAAGATAATTTTGAAAATTTTGTACTCACCAAAAATGGCGAATGGGCAATATGTAAAGATTACTTCGCTTTCACCAAGTTATTTCATAACAATACAATTACGATGGTTACTCTGAATTGGATTAGCTTCGAAAAGATGGAGTTCTCTTTTTCTTTGAAAGGGCAATGAATGTCTTATTGAGAGACTAAACTGAAAGTAATCTAGGGGAGTCATCAAATCATGAGTTCTGACAATATAATATTAAAACTATTTGCCAGAGTGAAAATAGTTGCAGAAACGAACAAAAGGATGAACAAGTAGAAGTTTGTATTTTTCGCATTGTTTCTTTCCTTTCTAATAATAATAAACAATAATTCGTTAGGTGAGGTTCCCCGAAGAACCATTTGTACTCTAGCTATGATGATTTTTGTCGATGTTTACGGGATCGGTGACCTCTAAATATAAGTCATAGGTCCGCCTCTGTAGACAAGTCTTAATGTACCCCTATCTATAGCTAGTTGTCTCGTGTATCTATCCGATTTAATATTGAAAGAATGCGCAATCTAACCGAGCCTGATTTTGAGAGAATTTTTATTTTTATTTACACACAGTGAGTTTATTAACTCAATTACATCAATATTCTCACAGAAAGCTTTTTCATATGCAAAACAATATTAGCTCACTTTTCTCCTATTACTTCTCCTTGATTTCCCCTTCTCTAATTCTGTCCTTCGTTTCTTTGGTTACTTCAGTACCATCTCTAGTCAGCTAGTCTAAAAAAACATAGTTCATGCAATTGTCCTCTTTTAAAGACTTAAATTATTGTAGGTCCTCATGTCGTTTAATTTGCAAGCGTTAAGTAAATGGACGTTAGATATTAACATTGTCCGATTAGATCAACTAGCTCGTTCTCTCAAGTAATGTGGGAAACTCTAACAAGGTCGAGTGATGTGTTGTGATTTGCAACCCAAAAGATAAAGGTGAAGGTCATCTTACGATCAAATAGCGACCACAGAAAATCTTATTCGGAGTGTTCTTTAATTTCACTTGGACTTAATGCAATAGTCAAAATAGATATAAAATCTTTTCAAGAACAAATAAAAGAGGTAGTGCATATGAGAAACAAACAGGAACCATTGTCAGGAAGAAATTTAAACTATATTAAGAGAAGGCAAGAATACTTGAGAGTTAACACATATATTCTGTTGAATAATGATAATTTACCTTGACTTCCATTCTCCTACTTTACATTCCTGCTATAGTACTAGTACTTTTTTTGGTCCTAATTTGTCTAATATTCATTTTGTTAGCATAATTTTTGATAAATCTTTTATTGAGCTATATACAATGTATGACTGTTTGATAAATATAGAAGCTGGGTCATTGGAGTGGATGCAAGCCAAAATCCAAATTATCCAATGAAGTTAAGTATTTTTGTAGTTTCAATGGAGGAAAATGAAGAATGAAATATTGACATGATACTAATTAGGGTGTTCAAACTGAACCAAAAAATCGCACCAAACTGAAAAGTCAAACCAAACCGATTAAAAAATTCGACTACGTTTGGTTTGATTTGGTTTGGTTTGGTATTGAGCAAAAAATCTAAACTAAACTGACATATAAATATATAATTTTTATATATACTTTTAAAACTTTATATTGAATTTTTATTAAAAAATATAAAAATATTTGGGATCCTTTCATGGGATATAATATTTAATAGAACTATGAAGTGCATCCATTTTTATTTCCTTTAAATAATGGGTTGTATTATTTTCTTATCAAGTGTTATTGAAATGCATCAATTATCTCTTTGTTCTTCCATATTCATATGTCAAGATTTCTTATATCTTTTTCGAATTTAAATGATATTTCAATAATTTAAAATTAAATAGAACATATCATTATTTAGGTATCATGTTGATTTTTATATTTAATTATTAAATTCGGTTAACCTGGAAAGCGTACATTAACGAAAAATTATTGTTAGACGGCTAAGAAAATAACTATCATGTGTTACTAAAAAATATTCTCCCATTAGAATATTTTAATAGATCATATGTTTATCAATTTTTTTAACTTTTACTAAACATATATTCACTTAACAAAACTTTATCTATAACTTTAACAAAGTAAGATCGAAATAATATTCGTAATAGAAAAACACGAAAAAATCCAAATAAATCCGACAAAACTGAACCAATCTAAACCAATATAGTTGGTTTGATTTGGTTGTGATAAAAACTTGAAATTCAAAAATAACCAGATTTACAAGTGCTAATTGAAAAATAGCCACAGTTTCAAAAGTAATCGAAATTTAGCCACTTTTCATGTAAAGATAAATCTGAACGAAAATACAGTACAAAATTCGAAAAATACTCCAGCATAATATACTGGAGTTCCAGCATAATATACTGGTCTAGCATAATATGCTGGAAGTTCATACACATGTGCTCCAATCTTCAGTACATTACGCTGGAACTTTTCGTGTGCTGGAGTTCCGTCATAATATGCTGGAAGTTCATACACAAGTGCACCAATCTCCAGTATATTATGCTGGAACTTTTCGTATTGCAGCAAAATAGTGGCTATTTTTTAATGACTTTGGAAACTCTGGCTATTTTTGAATTAGCAGTTCAAACACTGGCTAGCCCGTACTATTTTCACATTAATTAAGTCCAAACAATTAATGGTCTTCTTTTATGACTACCTATTAAACCGCGGACACCAATGTTGGGGCAAAGTACATGTATACGGTCGAAATCGGGCATACCCGATTTCGTTGGCAGGGGAGTTGCCTCGAGGGTAACCTCATAATAGATCGGGCTCGAGCTCGAAGATAGAACATCAAGCATGGAGATCAAAGTGTTCATTGAGATCGAGGCTAGCAACAATCGGGATCAAGCATGACTGACTTCGAGTAAGGCGTAATAACGGAATGGCGAGATATCAGTAACCGGTCAAAGATCACGGCAGAAATTCCGGAACAGATTAAATCAAAGCGGTTATTAGTGCCAATCATGGAATCTACTTCCGTTATTAGAGTTGTACCTTATTTAGGATTCCTTTATTATATAAAGAGGAATCTCATTCACTTGTAAGAAAAGAATTTTTTTTTCATTGATAAGAATATACACACGCTGCCTTATTTGTTTTACTTACTGTTCATCGATGTTTGTTCCATCCTCTGTTGTTCTTATTAATTAACCTCGAGACTATCTCGAATCGAGGTCGAGGCATTGTTTGCAAACCGATTTGATTTATTTTAGTGTCCAATTTATCTATTTAATTTGTTGTTTATCAATTGGTACTGGTTTAAATCACATATCCTTAAAACCATAATATAAGTTTAATTGTTACTCAATTTTTAGGGTAAACAGTTTGGCGCCTATAGTGGGGCTAAGGAAAATAGTGATTGTTCAGTACTGATTCTGGTAAAACACACTATTTTACGCTTGTTCTTGTCAAGTATCTTTGCTTTCAGGTTAAAATATGTCAAACTCACAAAACACATCCACACACGGTGGCAATGGCCTCGGATTCCACGGTGAAAACGAAAATGTGATTGCTCCAAGAGTCGAGGTGCCACAGGCTAATCTCGGGGGAGTACCGGTTGCCAACCCAGTCGATGTCAGTTTGCACGTTGCTCTAAACGCAGACCTAGGCACAAATCTCGATGGGAGTGTACGTAGAGAAGGCCGATCTAGTGTCCAGGGAACACAGGGAAGAGGAGACGAAGGAGTCAGTCTCCAAGTGATATTCGAAATGTTTTAGGCTCAGCAAGCCGCTATTGCTCAGTTACAAAATTAACATAGAGCTCCGAATAGGGTCGAGCCGAAAATTACTCGCCGTACCGAGCCAGTACCGGAAAGGTCGAATGGTAACGAATCAGGGACTGATCCTGCGGTAATGAAAATGCTCGAGGAGCTCACTAAAAGAATTTAATCAGGGGAGAAGAAAATCGAAGCAACGCTCGAGTTAATCAGATACCGGGGGAACCACCAATCTTGAAAGGGATGGATTCGAAGAAGTTTGTGCAAAAGCCTTT